TATATATATATTAAATATATACATTTAAAGAATCTCATTCTTTCTTTAACAAACAAACATTGCCTTTAAGTCGATTATTTTAATTTACAGCTTTACTGTAATGAGAATTTGAGGACAGAATGTGCATATGTCCTAAAAATGTCATAATGCAAATAAAAGTAACAAGGGTTCTAATAGTACTTATATATATAGAGAGAGAGAGAGAGAGAGTTTTTTCTTTTTCTATTTAATAGAAAATTTGACCTTGACAATTCTTTGTGAGATTCTAGTAATAGTGCAATGAATGTTGCAACCAATTACTGTAGGGGAAAAATTATGTATAAACAACATTTATTAGTGTGCAAATTGGTGTAAACTCACATAGAAGCAGGGAGGTGAAACACAGGTCAGTTTGATAACTGGACATACAGTGAAGGTGAACATTACAGATAACACATAGATACTCTCACATACACCTGAATCATTTCAACATTCACAGTGAGAAGACAAGTGAAGGAACACCAAGCATTATACAGCAAGACACGGCACATTCACAACATTCATACATGAAAATAGATACATGTCCAACACTGGGTTCTTGTTACGTTGACCAGATATTGAGGAATTTGTTCCAGTAAATGAGACTATATAATTGTCATAGCTGTTTTGTTATTAAAAGGACAGTTTGTTTTTACCTGCTATCATGCCACACGAAGCTGGCCCTAAAGTATATCGTACAATGTTAGTGGCCAGTGCAAAAGCAGAAACTTTGCTTATTGGAAGGTTTTTATTCTAATGTACTGCACCAGCAAGAGCTTTAATTAAAAGTCTCGGTCGTGCCGACCATTTTCTGGCTTACAGATTATGTTCTTGGCAGACAGGTTCATAGCACCCGGTCCAATCTCCAACATTATATTGCACTACAGTAGATGTTGTAGTTACAAAACCCTGAGGTCACCCTAGATAAGGTCAAACATCTCTCTTAACACCATTACAGTTCACTGTCTGCCTGATTAAAATAATTAAATAATTCCCACTGAAGTACAGATCGAACCCAAAAGATGCTTTGGAAAACACGGATATACGATCTCAAAATCATCTGTTGCATTTTATATTAGATAAGCACAGGGGGCAGTTATTGCCTGAAGTGTATTTGTTAGTATATTGACTATGTAGATAAGAGTAGTAGTACAAAAATATTACAATGAAGTGAAATCAAACATTTGCAACATTCATGACAAAACAAATGTTTATGAGCACACCTATATAATGCAACATTGCTTTTGTCTTGATTTAAAAGATGCAGGTATAAAATATGGCATATATATATATATATATATATATATATATATATAATATTGGTGTGAATTACAGCAGCTGACATTACGAAGTAGACTTTTTATACAGAATTGTAAAGACTGAATATGAAGCTTTAAAAGAATGTTTTAAGTAATGTTCAATGATAAACATACTAATTGGTTTGTTAGTGTGCAGCGTTTGAAAAACAGCAGGTGAGGGCACAGTAAATAAGAAATGAAAAGCCAAGGAAATAAACATGTCTGGTAAATCTATGACAAATTCACTCACAATAGTACATCTGTCCCTTACAGTGGTCGTTATCTAGTATGAATATAACACAGTGATACAGTGGGAGATGTTTGACTAAAAATATTACCTGAGGGAAATGAATCCGCTTCAGTTCTTTGAAGGAACAAATTATGCCATGGGCTGCGATTGTACCGTCATTACCACAGTTACAATATAGCAACAAGAATTTATATTTTGATAGCTTCTGGAACAGTGAAAGACCACATAAATCCACCCGCTTACAGGTAGAGATACATTCTAGTTAAAGTCTTTTATCATTTCATTCTTTTCTCTTTTTTTCCGATTCATTTGCAAATACATCAATGCCCCTAGATAATCAATTTAAATTACACATAATACAAATATATAAATGAATTATTAGAAATAATATTTACATTATTTTTGGTATACTACTGTATATTGGGCCCTTTTCCTATTTTCATCATCATTTAATTGACAAAACGATATGGATATTAATGAAAGGCAGGCAAAGGACTTAATATGTTCTATTGAATACAGATTTGATTGGAAATCTAATTTGGGAACATTATTTAAAATCTGCAAATCCTATTTAGGAGACTTTTACGAATCCTGACCGCTACTTGTGAGTGCAAAAACAATTGGGAAAGCATAGTAGTTTTGCCACATTTCACCTCCAGTTTCGGTGTCTGTGTGGCATTATACATCATCTGTGTTGTTGCCTTTTTTAAAAAAAAAAAAGAGTCATAAATATTAAGTGATATAAAATAGAAAAAAGCCCAGGTATTTGGGAGAACATCTACGAATTTCTGTGATTTAACGTGTGAATTGCATTACATTCTCGTTTTGCTGATAAAAAACCTCAATCACAGAGTATATACAGTATATTTATCAGTGCTGAATGTTGGATATGCTGCTCACAAACAGAGAATTCACAAAACATTGTACCTCAGGGTTCACAACTATGTCAACACTATTACTGGAACTCTAATTATAAAAATCATTGCACATCTACAAAGGGCACATTTTCGTGTTTCTCATGCAGCAAGTGTTACAGTGACGTATGTACAGGTGCATCTCAATAAATTAGAATGTCGTGGAAAAGTTCATTTATTTCAGTAATTCAACTCAAATTGTGAAACTCGTGTATTAAATAAATTAAATGCACACAGACTGAAGTAGTTTAAGTCTTTGGTTCTTTTAATTGTGATGATTTTGGCTCACATTTAACAAAAACCCACCAATTCACTATCTCAACAAATTAGAATATGGTGACATGCCAATCAGCTAATCAACTCAAAACACCTGCAAAGGTTTCCTGAGCCTTCAAAATGGTCTCTCAGTTTGGTTCACTTAATAAAAAAAATAAAATAAAAAAAAAAGTGACGTGACATGTGGCCAAGTATGGTGACCCATACTCGGAATTAGTGCTCTGCATTTACCCATCCAAAGTGCACACACACAGCAGTGAACACACACAAACCGTGAACACACACCCGGAGCAGTGGGCAGCCATTTTATGCTGTGGCGCCCGGGGAGCAGTTGGGGGTTCGGTCTTGCTCAGGGGCACCTCAGTCATGGTATTGAAGGTGGGAGTGTACAGTAAATGAACATACTTTCCAGAAGGCCAACAATTCACTAAAATTTTTTTTTTTATTGGTCTTATGAAGTATTCTAATTTGTTGAGATAGTGAATTGGTGGGTTTTTGTTAAATGTGAGCCAAAATCATCACAATTAAAAGAACCAAAGACTTAAACTACTTCAGTCTGTGTGCATTGGATTTATTTAATACACGAGTTTCACAATTTGAGTTGAATTACTGAAATAAATTAACTTTTCCACAACATTCTAATTTATTGAGATGCACCTGTACATTAGTCCTGTAGTATCAAATGGCCAAATGGGGTCTTAAATGGGAGTTTAGATGGAAAACGTCCCTTTTTCAACCAAACTTGGCACATTTTGTGTTATGTATAGGGTTTGTTCACTCAAAATGACCCTGAAGTGCAGAATGCAAGTGTATTTGAGTATGTTAGTATGAGTGGGTTGTCACGGGTGGGTTTGAGACAGCATGCGGTTTCTTTCACTGAGTGGGTGAGCAGTCGTCCATATCCAGGAGCTCCTTGACCAGCCTCTCGCCGAACTGTGCCCGGCTGTAGCGTTTGACGTGGTAGGTGTCTGACATCTTGTAAAGAATATAGGCATTGTTGATGGCGATGCTGATGGTTAGCCAAAACACCTGTTGCCAGGTCTTATTAGGCTTGTGGAAAATGAAGTACCTAGTTGGAAAAACATGAGTTGAGTGAACTATAAAATGCATGTATATATCCTAAAGGTTAATTGTAAAACAGACTTGATTGGTCAATCTCACTTGCTGTACTTGTCATCATATTTGCAGATGTAACTCAGGTGCGCAGCAAAGGCCTCCACAGCAAGGGGACATGGGATTTCTCCACTCTTCCTCTTAATGATCACCCCTAGGACAATCCGGGCAGAAATGTCAATCACAGTTAGCAGACAGGAGGATTTAACATCTGACAATAAGGAACAACTGTTCAGTTTTCTGCTGCATCTTAGCAACGAGATCTTCTGCTTTGTTAGTAGCATGAATCATGCCTTTACTGATCACAAGAATAAATGTAGATTTTAAACAATCTTATTGAACACCAATCTGTTGTATTTCTACTTGATTTCAAACTCTGTATTAAACTGGCCACAAACCACAGGGAGTTAAACTGGAATTTTAATCGGAATAACAAGAAGAATAATTTACTGAATTGTACCTGTCTGTCTGTCTTATAAACCTGCAAACTTCAAAGCTTTTTTAAACTTCCAAACAAGGTTTTATCAAGTCAACATTTAAAGTGTTACAGTTGCATTTCTTTTCATTTCAAGTCATTTCATTTCTACTTTCTTACATTCACATTTAAATTACAGTTCTGCATTCTGCGTGCAACCTCAGTTTAAATTCTGGAACTGGATTAGAATATAAAAGGCATTCTCAGTTCAATTTTGAATGGCGCACGACCTTGGTAGGCGTCCTTCTTGTGTAATCACTCATCATATAACTTATGTATCATCTTCTACATTTTTAATCTGAGTCACATGTAATTAAATTAGAATCAAAAACATGATGTCACTGAAACATAATCAGTAAGAAGTCCCAGTCATTAGATCTGTACCATTATGAACCCTCAGCATACAATTAACTGCCATCTGTTGCAATCAGTAGTAATCTACTGCTCATTAGAGCACAAAGTACTGTCTTCCTCAGGAGTGCTTGTGGCATGTAAATTACAATGCTGGCACTTTTTGAAAATTAAAATGGGCTATTTTGAGTCCTAAAGACTACGGGGAAATGCACGGAAAGAATTTTTATAGACTGTGGACTTACAAAGTGTCTAAAAGTTGAGGCTGAATACTGGTGGGATGCTAATTTTAGTTCAGGTTATAGAAAACTTGGCAGAGATCTAGCACTGAGTTTTCAATGAAACTGTATAGCCCTATTAATCAAAAGCGACACCTGCTCTCAAAGAGGAGCACAAAAAGCTTTTACTATATAAACGTATTATTTCAGATTCCAGAGAATGAAATATAAGTCGTAATTTTATCTCCCTTTTGCCTGACCTCATAAATCAGAAGCAATGTTATTTGTACCATATAGATATAGCTAGATATACCTTTCGAGAATGTGAAGTGCTTTGAACACTTCATGCATATATTTGGTTTTTGATTGGATTGTAATAAAAAGGAAAATAAGATGATTGAATTGATAAAATATATATTGATGCAGCTCAATGCTTTATATCACTCTCTAATGAAAATGCCTAGTATCAGCGCTGACATTTCTCATGTGAAGTTGCTGTCAGAATGGATCAAGGCTTATCAAAGAAAAGTGAAGACCAGCGCAATACAAAGAAGCTTTGCCTTTTATAATCCTATGATGTGCACAATATCCACTTAATCCACAAACATCAGCGTAAAACCAATCTAAGCTTGCACTGCTATAGTGAAGACGCTCTCTGGGAGGCGCTTTGATGCAGCTTGCGAGTGTCATTGTAGTTTGCATGTTTCCTTTTTAGGGCTGACGTTCGATTAAAATTTTTTATCTAATGAATTACATGATGTGGCAATTAATTAATCTAATTAATCGCAAATTAAATTTGTTTGTGGAAATACCCCAAAAGGTCATTTAAAGCCATCATAAATGAGAAAAGTTTCAAGTAGACATTACAAAAAGTAGCTTTAGAATGAAATATTTTATTTGATTCAACATAAAATTTATTACACATTTAGGCTACAATGGCCTAACATAAAATATGGAACATAAAATAATATAATTTGAGAAACATCTCTATTTTTTGTTCATAGAATGAAAGTCACTGGTTACCAGCAGTCTTCAAAATATCTTATTTTATGTTCCACAAAAGAAAGCAAGCCATACAGGTTTGAAATGACATGAGGGTGAGTAAATAATTTCAGAATTTAATTTTTTTTGGTGAACTATCCTTTTTTTATATGGAAATATATTTAATATTTAAATATATATTATATAATATATTTTTTATAATAATAATTATAATAAATTATAATATATTTTTTTAATGAAATGATACTCTAAACAAGAAACTAAAACTGCCAGTAGGTGGCGGTAAATGTCTTTATGAGTAAGTCATTGAGTCATTCATTCATTCCATTCGTTCAAACAGCTGATTCATTCAGAAAAAAATCACCACTGTGTTGCTTGCAGATGCACAACAGTTCTGCTGTGGCTTTATAGGTAATATTTTCGCTGGCAAAATTGTGTTTACAATGTAACACAATATTAAATTCTTATTCACTGAATTGTCTTATAAAATCACATTTGCACTCATGCTATTCTGGACAAAAATACAGCACTCGTGTGATATCGCTTATCAAATATGAGACAAAAACTCATACAGGGACATTTTTTCCCCAATCTCTTGAATTTTAGGGGTATATAACTACATTTATTGAATGTGTCATGCAGTGAGTTGTTGCCCTGCATCATGTGTGTCAAATCAACAGTCAAATGTTTGCAGTGTAAGATGACATACAGGTCTGGGGTGGGGCGGGCGCGTTAAAGGGTTAGTTCACCCAAAAATGAAAATTAGCCCATGAATTACTCACCCTCAGGGCATCCTAGGGGTATATGACTTTCTTCTTTCAGACGAATCCAGTCGGAGTTATATTAAAAATTGTCTTTGATC